AGAGTGAAGGTCTTTTTGGATTTACTGCTTCTGCTGTAAAGTAGCAGTTGAAGCTAAAAGGGTCTTTGCACAAATCCATCTTGTGTGCCAATTGTGTTCTTTCCTGAACCCCTTCAGACAGTCACTCATATTTTGACCACCTCATTCCTGGACTACTGCAATATTTTACACTGCCCAGAATCCCTTTGAGTGGGAGATGCATGGTACTTAAATATAATAAATAAATAAAATGAATGTGTTCTACAGGGAGCTGCCCTTGAAAACCACTTGGAAGCTACAGGTGATCCAGATTGCGCTGACCCAGACAATTATAGATAGGGGTCCCCAAATCCCGGGCAGTGGCCCACTTTTGGGCTGTGGCCCATTCGAGTGGCTGGCCAGCACATGCACGCATATGTGCAGTTCAACAAGTTGTGAGTGGCAGGCTGGTACACACGTGCACGCACAGCTTGACTTGCCTGAGCAGCGGGCTGGTTCCTCTCTCCCTCCCTCTGCCGGGCCGCCAAGTCATACAGGTTGGGACCACTGATTACAGGCATGCCACATGATGCCTATGCAGGGGTGAAATGCTCCCGGTTCAGACCGGATTGCCCGATCCAGTAACGATGACGGTGGGTGGTTCGGAGAACCGGTAGCAAAAACCCCTGCCCCCCTCCATGCCCAGCTGAGATCATCAGAGGCTTTTTTTTTTAATTTTTAAAAGCATTTTTTCTATAACCTCTTTGGCCGAAAAAATGCTTTTAAAAGTAAAAAAAAAAAGCCTCTGATGATCGTGCGGCTCAGCTGGGATCGTCAGAGGCTTTTAAAGCATATTTTTTTACATTTAAAAAAAATGTTTTTAAAAGTTAAAAAAAAAGTTGGCCACGCCCACCGTCACTTTACCCCCCCCCCCCACCAAGCCACGCCCACAAAACTGGTAGTAACAAATTTTACATTTCACCACTGTGCCTATGTGACATATTTGCTTTACAAGTTGCACTGATTACTAGTAGGCTACAGTGTTCCCCATTTGAGTAATTCAAGGTACTCAAAAAAAGCCCATAATGGTATTGGGCTGTTAAAATCTAAGAAAGTACCTTCCATAGTTTCTGCTCATCCTGTCCGATTTGGGAGAGTGAGCATGCTCCGAGTTCCGTCCATTAAACAGTGTCCCTTATTGAGATCTAAGAAGTATGCCTTATCTGTGGCAGGCTTGCTCTCTGGAACAATATCCCTGCTGAGATTGATCTGACCCCATTCTGACCATGATTAAGAGAGCGCTTACATCTGGCTCTTCCTGCAGTCCTTGGGTTAAACTGGGTGATGGATCCTGGGGTTGCATTGTGTACAGAATGAATAATCTTTCTCCTGGTGCCTTTGGTTTTATTTGTGTTTTTACTAATGGTTTTATTGTAGATGCCCTGTGTTGCATTGGAATTGGTGGCCTTATCTTTTAATATGCTGCAGTGGTCATGGAGGAAGGATCTGACATTTTACAGCAAATGGCAGCTGTAGCTAGGAGAGCCTTTTCCCAGGTTCCTGTTGTGCACCAATTGTGTCCATTTCTGGATCAGGATGCTCTAACTCACAGTAATTCGCACTTCTCATCTCCTGTTTGAATTACCATAACCTACTGGATATAGACTAGGGACGTGGTGGCTCAGTGGCTAAGATGCTGAGCTTGTCGATCAAACGTTCAGCAGTTCAGTGGTTCGAATCGTAACGGAGTGAGCTCCCGTTACTTGTCCCAGCTTCTGCCAACCTATACGGTCCTTGACTTATAACCATTCATTTAACAACCATTTGAAGTTATAATTGCACAGAAAAAAAGTGACTTAAACCAGTTCTCGCACTTATGAATGTTGCATTCTCATGGTCATATGATCAGAATTTGGGTGTTTGGCAACTGGCATGGGGTTATGATGACTGCAGCATCCCAGACGGGTGAAATGCTACCGGTTAGGGGTGGTTCACCCGAATCGATAGTGAAAATGCTACAGGTTCGCCTGAACTGGTAGTAAAAAAATGATTTAAAAAGTAAAAAAAAAAATCCCATGGTCACGTGGCACAGCTTATCGTCCGAACCTTTTTAAAAACTTTTTTTAAAGCATTTTTTTACTACCCGTTTGGGCAATAGGTAGTAAAAAATGCTTTAAAAATTAAAAAAAGTTCCGACAATCAACTGTGATAATCAACTGTGCCTTGCGATCCTGGGAACTTTTTTTTTACTTTTTAAAGCATTTTTTTACTACCTATTGCCCGAACCGGTATTTTTGTGTAAAGTGTGATAGTTTGTTTTTGAGCTCTCTATGACTCTGTGAGGTTCCTGCTTGTTGCAGGGGTCATTTTGTGTGAAGTCCAGCTTCTTTTGCATTGTGTGTGTCAGTTGTGTAGCTTTTGTGTTATTTTTGTGTAAAGTGTGATAGTTGGTTTTCCTAGTCACAGAACCAATAGGGAAATTTTTGAATTTCACCACTGATCCCAGGGTCATGTGATTGCCATTTACGACCTTCCCAGCCGACTTCCAACAAGCAGAATCAATGGGGAAAGCCAGGTTTGCTTAATGACCACATGATTCACTTAATAATGTTAAGTGCCAAAATGTTTAATTTATTTTTAAATTGTTTTTAAATTTTGTATTTGATGTTTTTTACTTCTGGCTGTTCACCGCCCTGAGTCCTTCGGGAGAAGGGTGGTATATAAATTTAAATATTAAATTAAATTATTAAATTAAATAACTGCAGTGATATGCTTAACAACCAAAGCAAAAAAGGTCATATAATTGAGTGCAACTCTCTTAACAACCACCTTAGCAATGGAAATTCTGGTCCCAACTATCATAAATTGAGGACTACATATACATATACATACACACATACATATATACATATATGCACACACATATACATACACATATGATCAGTATGTCTGTGGCTGTTTTTATGTAAAGCAAGTTTATTTCACTAACAGAAAACATTAGATTCTATTCCTAGTGATTATGTGGATAACTGCTTGCCATTCTGAGCATTTAAACATTAAAGCATTTAAATATGCTCAAATTCTTTTGGAATAAGCTCTAAGGGCTCTTAAAATGGTCACTCCTCAGTCTGCCTTTTATTATAACAGGAAACATTTTTTGCTGAAGGCCCCTTCCTTCAGCTGTAATGTATTACAGCTGAATGATAGGGAGGAGAGAAGTAAAGGAACAGCGGGATCAGAGACAAAAACAAACCCTTTTTTGGCATCTCTTTTCTTTTCCCAAACCTGAAAGGAAAGATGGCAGATTTTTATCAGTGATTATAGGGATTGTGGTCTAGGATTTAGAAATTAGGATGAGAGCTTCCCATTTCCTATCCTTATGTTAGCAAAGCTAGGGCATACAGATACCTTTCAATAGCATTTCAGGTTACAATGAGCAAGCATAGGAGTGACTTTAATTTTTCTCGTGCATCAGTTCATCATTAATAGATGTTCCTGTGATAGTTTAGCTGTTGGTATCCATCCTTAGACCCAGGGAAATTAAGAGAACTAAGGAATTCTCTTAAGCCTGGAATTCCCATTAAATTCTTCATGTATCTTCTCAAAAGTGAGTCTAATTAGGTGCAGTGAAGCATGCATTCAGGTAAATATGTGCAATTTTAGCCTAATTAAACCCCTCTCTTGAAAACAACCACAAATCATGCTTGGCAGAGATAGTGCAACTTCCCCCCCCACCATAATTTAGCTGAATCATGTCCATAGGGCAAAACTTGCAGATTATAGAAGAATGTTATCTCTCTTTTCCTAACATATGCAGAAAGGCACACCAAACAGCTGTGCCATAACAAATTCAACATGTGTATCTTTCTTCCAAATTAATAAAGCATCTGCCTATCCCAGATCCTTGGGAAGGATTCGATCGGTTGATAAAAATGCCAAATCGAGTCTTAACATCTGGCCGACTGTGCAACCAACCACAATAAAGTAACAATTTATTAAACTTGTATGCCTGCCAACTCTCATAAGACGGGGTGGTTTACAAAAAACTGCTGTAGAAAGCTACGCCACCCTGCACCCAAAGGGGCTGAGGAAGGGGGCAAACCCAAAAACTCTTTATGAGGTAATCAAAGAATATTTGATTACCTCATAAAGGAGAATATTTGTAGCTCAGGGGTCCTTGGTGCACTCTTGAGAGCCACAGTGGCATAATGGTTATAATGCAGTACTGCAGGCTACTTCTGCTGACTGCCGGCTACCTGCAATTTGGCAGTTCGAATCTCACCAGGCTCAAGGTTGACTCAGCTTTTCATTCTTCTGAAGTGGGTCAAATGAGGACCCAGATTGTTGGGGGCAAGAGGCTGACTCTGTAAACCGCTGAGGAGAGGGCTGCAAAGCACTGTGAAGCGGTATATAAATCTAAGCGCTCTTGCTCTGAGGTTGCTTGTTTTCTTACAGGCGTTTCATTACCCTAACTAGGTAACACCATCAGGACTAGTAAAGAGTGCTGTTTGCTGTCAGATTATATTCTGGTGTTTTGCCTGTCTGTGTGAAGGTGGGGGCGATTAAGGATACTTTGGTTGGGCTGTTTACTGATGGCAGTTTCTTGATTGTAATAAAAAAGGCGCATTTCTGCTTTTTTTATTTATTTATTTTTTTGCAGCGCCCCTTACACACACTTAGCAGAAGTCGCAAAGCAGTGCGCCTCACCTCTGCCCGTTTTCTTCTCCTCGGCTCGGAGCGCCTTGCTTCACCCGGTTCCATTTTCTACGCTGGCAAAAAAAAACAAAAAACAAAACCCTCGAGCCTTTTGGCTGTTCGACAACGTCCGACCTGGCCCAGCGTCGGGCCGGTACGTATGTGCGAATTTCTTCCCCATCTTTTCCCCCTAATCTATCCCAAGCTCCGCCGCATCCCTCCTCCCGCCCCGCCTCCTGCCCATGTGCAAAGCCGCGGAGCTGATGTCATCGCTTGGGCTGCCCGAATGTGTGTCAGTGGGGCAAGCCTTTGATTCTGTCACATGCAGGCTACACATGAGCCAGCCGCTGAGGTACGCCAGAAACCTAACTCCCCCGCTCTTCGCCTTGGCTGGGAAACAAGAGCGAGCGATTCATCTGGGGAGTTGAATAAGCAAAAAAAAAGAGAGAGAGAGAGAGAGAGAGAACCCAACCCCAGCAGGAACGCTCACCCACATAGCCTCGGATTCAGGGAACTGGGTTGGGGAAGGAGGTGGGGAGGGGGGAAGGCTCGGCTTCAGCCTCTTGCCGAGCCTTGCTTCAAAAAAGCACGTGGAAGTCGCAGTCGAGGACACGACTGCTGCCTCCTGGAAGCACAAACCATTTTGCAGAGCGCGGTGGCTCAGGAGTCGGCAAGCACGCGCGCGCGCTCTTCTCTCTCTCTCTCTCTCTCTCTCTCTCTCTCACACACACACACACACACAACACACACAGAGGCAGGAGAAGAGGGGGGACGTTGGGGAGGATTCCCTCGTCGCGCACAGCCGGCTTGCTACCCATCGCCCCCTTTCTAGTTATTTATTATTATTATTATTATTTGCTCGATTTGGGAGAGCCCCAGCGCTCCTTCCCTACGAAAGCGAGCAAGCGAACCCAACGCGCAACTCTTCATTGCCTTCCTCGAGGCGATTCCTTATCTCCCCTCTTTTTATTTTTTATTTTTTTTAATATATATATATATTTGGGCAACCCGAGGACCAGGTTTGCGCTAATAACGGGGGGACGTCGGAAGAGAGAGAGAGAGAGACCCAGCATGGATAACAATTCCGGTAAGCCTCTTGTTTTCTGCTGCAATTTTTTTTTAAATTCTCCTTCCCACACGCTTCCATCCCTCCCCTCCGGATTGCAAGTGGGCTGATGGGCGCGAACCTAGGGAGGTCGAGAAGAGAGGAAATGAAGTAGCCAAGAAGCTCGCTACGATGTTGAATGGGGTTTTGTATTTTCATGCCATCACGGGCGGGTTTTTTTTTTCTTGTTTTCTTTTCTTTTACGTTTTCCACTCCTTAGCTTGCCCACTATACTGTAGCTCACTACACCGGAAGGAGCGCCTAAATCTGGGGTTTTAATTCATTTTCCTTTAAAAACAAAACAAAACAAAACACAACAGCCAAAGGCTAACAATCTAAAGCAGAATGCCAAAGAAGGGGAAATGCCTTCTTTGGCATTCTGCTTTAGATTGTTAGCCTTTCTTGGGTCGCCAACGTCTTTGGAAACGGGTTCCAAAAAAAAAAAAGAAAGGGGGGGGGAGGTTGGGTTGGGAATCCACAGCAAAAGCGAAGGGAGAAGAGGAGTCCGGGGTGGTGGTGGGAAAAACAGTTTTTTGTTGATACTGAAATGGTTGTGGAAGAGGAAAAGGAGCTACAAACAGCCGATTGGAGACGTATGCAATACAAAGAAAGAAAGAAAGAGGGGACTTTATTGGTGCAATGCAAATTCTTGGAGACTGCGGATCTTTCACTACTAGGACTGGGCGAGGGACAGGGACTTTGGGGTGGGGAGGGGAAGGGAAGGGAGGCCCCCGAGAATCGCTGTTCCAAATCGCTTTAATTTGTGTGTACAATGAAACGGGGTCACATGGGTGCCGCTGCAATTTGTGCTTTCTCGGTAAACAAACCCAAGCGATGTTTGATGGATGGTTCTGGAAAGCGGCTTCTTGTTTTTGCGTTATGCTCGGCTAGAAGAATTGGGGGGGGGGGGGGTGGGTGGGGGGGGGGGGGGGGGAAAGAAAGGCTCCCTACAGCCTCCTTTTGTATGGATGCGGGAGAGGTTAGGTGGGGTCAGTCAGTGCGATTTGACCGTTGTGGAATGTAGGAGAAGAGTTTGCAGTCAGTAGTCAAAAACAAAACCGGGAAAGCGTTGAGGCAAGGAAAGCCACTGTTTGCAGATAAACTAGGTTGCTGGGCTAGTCCAACCCCCCCTTTTTATATATATATATATATATATATATTAAGTGTTTTACCGAGACTACTCCAACATGTGGGAGAGAGCATTCTGCTCTCTTTTGCCTTTCAGCTCCAACCCAGGAGCCCTCAAGCAGTTGCATCCACAACAAACCATTTTTTATACCAAATATATTTTACTGATAAAGAAATAAAGGGAGACTGGTATAGATCTATTTCAAGCTTCTTAGCCCTCATCAGCCAGCCTTACCCTTACTTGGATTCGAACCTGGGCTGCCTGCATGTTCGAATCCAAGTAAGGGTAAGGCTGGCTGATGAGAGCTAAGAAGCTTGAAATAGATCTATACCAGTCTCCCTTTATTTCTTTATCAGTAAAATATATATATACATTTTACTGATTATATATCTATATCTATATCTATATCTATATCTATCAGAGTTAAATGTTCTGATGCCCTGCAGCAGGTGCGGATTCTAACTCCCCATAAGATGAGTGCAGACATCATGAGAACTGTAGTCCAAACCATCCAAAACAGTGTTTCTCAACCGTGGCAACTTGAAGATGGGTGGACTTCAATTCCCAGAATTCCCCAGCCAGCACGGAGAAAAGAAAAGGGAGAAAGGAATGCCTGGGCAGAATTAGATATTCTGCTGATTTAAAAAAACAAACAAACCAGGCTTTTGGTCCTTACTGCACTGAAAATAGATTTTGATTACATTTCTGCAGCAAGAGGGTGATTTAAGCAAGATTTTAAAGGAGCCATAGCTCCATTGATCTGCAAAGTGACTTGAGTGCTAACTTTTCAGAAGCAGGACACTATAGATATAAACTATATCTATAGATTCTATTGGTAGATTCAGATTAAATATATGTGGTGTTTCATACAGGTGATGTTTATCTTTTGCTGCTGGAGATATGGCATGTTATTCCAAAAAATAAAATATTCTATTTTCACTTAATTTTTGTTCCTCGTATGTGTATCTGTTGGTTTAATGTAGATGGCATGCAAACCTAGATTGCATTAACTTCCATGTAAGGATGTCTTCCTTGCTGGGTTTCTTAAATTTGCTGTAAAGTTTTGAAATGTGCAGGAGAAGTGGGGTAGATGTTCTAAGCTCTGCTCTCTTTTCACAATATGATGCAAATCTGTATTTTTCTCTCCTTTGGATCAGTGTTTCTTGGCAACTTTAATATATGTGGACTTCACTTCGCAGAATTCTCCATCCAGCATGCTTTTGCTGGGGGATTCTGGGAGTTGAATTGAAGCTGCTTCATATATCTTAAAAGATGCTTTTGCAGTTCCATATGGGGAAATTTTTAAAGCATTAGAATGCAGCGTCTTACTAGTGCCCCATCTTCTAACTCCCCAACCTTGATTGTATACATTGGCTAAAGTACTGTTTGGGAGAACCTTGTCTCTCTCAAATGCAAGGTGTCCCTATAGAGAGAGATGCTGGCAATAGGAATTGTCAAGCTGCTGCCCCAAAACATGAGGTAGGGACAGATGTGAGGACTCAGACTGCTTCTCAGAGGAGATTTGATATCTGCAGTGTTCTGTCTTGTATCTTAGTTGATCCACTACAAAGGATAATTGTTTGAGGCTGTGTTCATGGTAGAGCACCACTTTTACTGGCGGAAGCTTTAGCGGCCAATTTTTTCCACCTCCAGGGAGGGTTGGGAAAAAAATTGTTCTCAGAAGGTTTGGAGTTCCCTGCAACAGTAATTGTGTGCTGAGCTGACAATATTGAGCAAGAGATTTCACTGAGTGACCCAGTTTGTACACTGCGCTAAGCCATACTTTGGTTTGTTTGGTTTTGATTTAAGTGTGTGAACTTCCCAACCACTTGGTGATTAAGTAGCACAGTTAAGGAAGCCATGGTTTGGCATGATGTATGAACGCAGCCAAATAATGTGACACAATCCTTTATTCCTAAGATCCAGAAATTTTATTTTTTTCCAGTTATTTGTTCTGCCCTGCTACTATATGTAGCCTCTTTAAGCTCTTGGATATTCCAGGAGGTCCATTTATGAAAATTTCTGGTTTCACATTGACGTGGGACTCAAATCCTTTGCCGGGTACAGTGATACCTTGGTAATCAACTGTTTTGAAACTCATAAATTTGGTGCTCAACACATTTTGACATGAAAATTTTGCCCGGTACTCATTGTTTGCTTGGTACTCAAGCTAGAACTTGTTGGTGTCGGCTGCCTTGTGACTCATTACATTATTCCTTATGGGAAAAAATTGTTCGACATACATCCTTTTAAGTGCTTATCACACCTCCCGGAACCAATTCACGATGAGTACCGAGGTACCAATGTAGTGACATCTCAGACAGATCACATTTGTTAGTGTGTTTTTTGTTGGAAGGCTGTCATTCAATATTGATTCTTTTGGGAATGACCCTGTTCTCAAATAGGAATTTTGCAAGAGCGGCAGTCATCACTAGAAACTGAATGGGTGCCAGGCTTCCCTTTTCTTGAGGTGGGTCAGCTTTTGTATTTGAAAGATCATCTTCGGGGCATAGGTGTGGGCTGAAAATATGTTTCTATACCAACTAATCCTGAGTGCAATCCTCTGACAACACAAGCCTGGCACCTGCACGTGCCCGAGAATTCCTCCAGTTAATCACAAAGTGATTCACTGAGAAAGAGGAGGCCAAACATAGCTACAACTGCCCTCGGGCCAGGAGCAATCTTTTGAAGGTTGGCAGAACAGGTCAGGAATGTTTTACTTACCAAAACAGTCTTTGGTGGATTCTATTTATAAGGACTGGGGTTATTCAAGGCAGATACTTCCATCTATAGCTCAGGGGAAGTTCAGAGTTTACTCCTCAGATTCCTTTCCTCCCTGGCTGGCTTAGGTATGAGACAGCCTTCTGCTGAGCCAAAAAAGAAAGTTATAGGAGATGTTTATGGTCAGATAGGACTTGGAAGGATTAAGTTGTTCCCTGATACACTCAACAGAACTCCCATGTTACCACCATTCCAGGCAGTCCTGGGGAATGACCACAATTCAGTGCAAGGCCATATACCTTCAATCAGAATAGAGCTGGAAGGAACCTTGGAGGTCTTCTAGTCCAACCCCTTGCTCAAGCAGGAGACCTTATACCAGGGATGTCAAACTCGATTTCATTGAGGGCTGCATCAGGGCTGTGGTTGACCTGGGGGGGGGCTGGGGTGGATGTGGCCAGTTTGACGTTACTCATGTCGGGGGTCCTGTGGTAGCCCAAGCACTTTGCCAGCTAATCGGGCTCCTGAGCTCCATTTTCGGCTGCGATGGCCTCCTGCAACCCTCTGCCAGAGAAAACAGAGCTCGGGAGGGCCATATGCAGCCCTCCCGAGCTCCATTTTCAGTGGCAAAAGCATTGTGGGCCAGTCCTTTGCTTTTTCCAGGGTGGCCCTGTGGGCCACATCTAAGCAGCCTGCAGGCCGGATCTGGCCCCTGGGCCTTGTGTTTGACACCCCTGCCCTATACCATTTCAGACAAGTGGCTATCAAGTCTCTTCTTGAAAACCTTCAGTGTTGGAGCACCCACAACTTCTGAAGGCAAGTTGTTCTACTGGCTAATTGTTCTCACTTTTAGGAAGTTTCTCCTTAATTCCAGGTTGCTTCTCTCCTTCCATCCTTTGTTCCTTATCTTAACTTCTGCTGCTTTGGAAAATAGGTTGACTCCCTCTTCTTTGTGGCAGCCCCTCAGATACTGGAATACTGTATCATGTCACCCTTAGTCCTTCTTTTCACTCGACCAGCCATACCTAGTTCCTGCAATCGTTCTTCATATGTTTTTCATACCTTGGGGAAGGGCTGCAGTTTTCTGTAGGTTATTTAGGAGGATATTTCTCAGAATAGACATCTTTGGCCCAGA